CCTTGGACTTTAACAAACATTTCAAAAAAAGAATTGGCCAAATTGGTCTTGGCGTTGTAGAGTTATGCGCTTACCAACAGATTTTGCGATTCATTTTTTTATTATAGAAATTTTTTTGAATTATTTTTGCCGCAGAATAATAAGCAAAATTTGGTTTGATTGTAACTGGTTATGCCCAAATTTATACGGGAACGCTGGCTGTTTGTAATATCTACACGTACACAACTGTTAATTAGTTCTTGTTTATCATTTTGTGGACAAATACGAAGTTTCTGGTTTCACGGCATTATTTTAGTTGAAATTTGATCTGTACATTTAACTTAGTCACAAACTCTTGTTATGAAAGAAACATGCGGATCTTGATATTAAGAGAAGGAAATAATATATGACGTCACCGATGTCGTAATCGCGGTATGAATTTTGCGGGATTCGAAAGCACGCTTTGAGGAATAATACCGCTTGGCCTTGAATCCATGTTTAACTCATTTTGTGTCGAGTCAAATCATTTCCTCTACCTATTCTTCATTGCTAAATGAAATTTATTGAAAATCTACATATATGAGCTTTCATCTTTTGATCCTTCCGTCTTTCCTTTGGGCGGATGTCACTTGAATAGAAAAATAGCCGGTGCGCCATATATTTTAATGAAATATTTAATTAAGTGAGAGATAGGCGCCTTTGAATGTATACATAAAATGGTAGCAATCTAAATTACAAAAAGAGAGCACGAGGGATGATGGCGCGCTTTTCGGCGTGTTCTTTCAGAATATCCCAGCCCAGCGACGCAGGCAAGGTTTCGGGTATCAAAAGGACGACTCTATAAAACATAATGGCAATATAAGGTACACAGGAAGAAGATCAATTTGGTGATAATCTCGTGGAAAATACTAGAAGCGAAAGCCCTCGCAAGCTTTGGCTTGTGCACACAAGCCTTATTCACACGCGCATACACCCACACTCACACGCGCTCATGCCATTGGGAGAGAGCGGAAGGAAATTGAAAGACGCTCGTGATTAACAACTGGTGAGCCGAGGGTGAATGGTTTTCGGGAGACGACAGACTCTTTGCTTCTGCCTGTGAAGGTGATCGAATGGTAGGCGGCTGTGTGGCGTTTGACAACCCCCCGTTGGTTTGGCGAGCGCGCGCGCGTATGTTTGTAATTAGACGTAAATATGGAAGATAATAGTTTGCGTAACTTAATTATATTCCGGAATTACAGGGCGTCTTTGCTTTGCCAACACGGCTCCTTTCTCTCCGTGTCCTTCTCAACCATGCCAGTCGTTCGCAACACCCCCGCATCGCGCATTTCGCGAGTTTTGAGACAACTTTAATAAGCTTAACTTCATAAGCTCTAGTTACCTGTGCAAGCGGAACAGTTGAAACTTAATGCGCGATGTTGATGAAGTTTTCCCTTTCAGAATCGCATTTGTCAGGAATGCTTGTGCGCGCCCTCACAGTGGCAAGTTACTTTTGCCGTGTGTCTTATCAAAGGCAGCGCTTGCTTCCCAGCTTGGTATTGGAGGGTGAAAAGTTAAATTAGGCTAGCGAACAAAAATAACCGCAAGCATAGGCAACAAACAACATGCGAATATACAACTGCACGAATAGCCCCTATATCTCTATGCGGATATGTGGCAAATCAAGAAATATTTTGAAGTTACGAGGGCTGGCGACTTCCTGCCTGTCATGAGACACTTGAGAAACTAGTCTTTTATTAAAACCGTTCAGCTCGAAACTTTCAACCTGTGATCTCTATCGAATTTGTCTTCATTACAGCCGATTCGAGATCACAAAGATCTACGAGCACAGCCGGAGAAAGGGCTTTCCAGCAGGATCTCGCAAACAAACAAATGTAGGATTGCGCGCACACGCACTCACCCACATATACAAAGGTGGAAAACTGAAGGCTTACGTCTGGAAGGAGGGCGGGCGCGCATTCCGGCCGGTTACAACTATGAGAAAACTGAGACAGTAAATTCCAATTATCCGAAAGCCTATTGACCGTCAATTCTCCAACTGCTTCAGCTATATATCCTATTTCCGGTGCTCGTTCCGTTGTTAGAGTCGACTACTCATTCCTGTGCTCATTCGAGGACCAACGAATGTACACAACGCATCCTTTATACAAGGGAGACCGAGCGAAAGAGTGCGAGGCAGAAATGTAGACGAAGAGCGGTTGAAAAGCGTCGGCACGTTTATTGTCGCATGACATGGGTGATGCGTACCCGGAACCACTAAAAGCACGTTTAATAAGAGCGCGGGAAGTATCCTTTAAGGCGCAAACAATTTTTGCTTTTCCTATTGTATACCACCGCATGCTGCGCACAACAACATGTTATTTTTTTTGCCTTCGCGGAGACTACACAAATTTCGTTTCTAATTATTTATAATGTAATTGGAAGTCAAACTGCTTTTTTTTTCTGTTTGGAAACAAATTTATTTCTGGCTGAAAAATGAAAATTAATTTTCTTGCAGCAATTTGTAAAACAGGAAAAATTAAAAACACATGTTACTAAATTAAATAACAAAACGCCGCTTCATTTTTTGCGTTCTTCAGCCCCAAGCGAATGAGGGTGTAAAATATTTTCGATAATTAATGGGGAGTTGAGTTGGCATTAAGAGAAAATAATTAATTCCACAGTTTTTGACAAGGGCCTGCCTCTGCGCGCTTGAACCGCCTCACCCCACCATAGCTAATTCTCTCAGCGAAATGCGCTGGACGAAAAATGATATTTCAGTTTAATATAATCTGCCCTGCGCTAAATTTTATAAAGGGAAGTCTTTTATTAAAGCAGATTATGAACATGAAAATGCGTTGATTTAAAGGGATGTTTTATATACGCATGAAAAGATTTGAATACGCGGCGGTGGGTTTAAAAACGCAAAGAAATTATATAAAATATGTGCGCTAGGTAAAGTGTTTCTATTGAATATTTCAGCAGGGTTTAAAGTATTTGCCTTGTGCCATCCTGTACCCCGTCTAATTCTTCATCAAAACATTAATTATGCTGTACTTCATAAATCGACGTTTCACTTAGCATTGTTACTCTGATCGCTTGCTTTCGGTGTATAAACATAAACAAATCAGTTTCAGCAGTTTTTGTATCGCGTCGATGATTTATCGGGCCACAAGCGAAATTGGCATGTGAAGGCGGGGGATTAATCAGTTGCAGCGAGCGCTCAGGCATTCTGACAGTTTTATTATTGATGAAAAAGGAATCTAATTACTGGGCGGCAAGTCAAAGTCAATATCTATAGCAATTTGTGTGAATAACATTGCAATTAAGTTGTCGAAAACGAAAACGGTACCTACCATGCTGAGGGTGTTGGCGTGACACCGTGAGCCATGGGCCCTTGCCTACAATAATCATATTCATTACTTAATCATCAATTACCTTAATCATTATTTTAGTTGCCCTAGTTACAAAAAATCGTCCTTGTGGAAAAAAGTGGAAATTTTCATTTAATACAACATTAACTTTTGTCCGCGCCTTCGTCCCGGTAGTGTTTAACAAAAATGTAATTTGTTTTTACTCTCTTGTTATAGACATAGTATGTGTCAATTCTATCAATATGATTTGCAATTTTATTTTAATGAAATTAATTATATAAAGAATTGCTAATAATGTCTTTCAACGCGCCATCTCGGATTCAACTATTCAACTATAACTATGATTAAGTTTCAATGCCAACTTTTATCCTATAGAAAAAAACTGTCTTTAGTGTTTTCCGGCAATTATTTGATTTTTTCTTACAGTTGAAACCATCCTTGGACTTTAATGAACATTCTAAGAAAGAATTGGCCAAATGGATTTAGGCGTTGTTGAATTATGCGCATACCAACAGATTTAGGGATTCATTTTTATATTATAGATTATCATGACTGTAAGAAACATTTAATTAAAAGAGAATTATCTATTTCAGAGATACATTTATATACTCGAATCTCAGAAAGAAAAATCGGGTATGGTTTAATGTTATGTGCGTGATACAATATGGGCAAACAAATTTTACAAGATTTTTGAATTCATGATTTTTGACAAATTTTCGAATTTTAATAAGTATAAGTAATAATGAGTTGGCGTTGATTTGGCAGTAGCACTGAATGGTGTTTCCTATTCTTTGAGATCAAAGCATTAGTTTGCCGCCCTCGTTTTTGACACATGCGTCTGGTGAAAGTTACAAAGTAGAAATTTTATGCGTACGCCTACGCCGCTAATTGACGTGATGCTTTTTGCTACCATTGAATTCGCATCATGTTTCGGCATGCGTTGGTTAATTAAATTCTAATTTCGTAACTTTTACCGAATTGGGAATAATTTCGAAAGGGGGCCCTCCAAGGAAAATCTAGGAAGATATTATGATTTGAAACAAGCGGGGCTCCAAATGTCTCGCTTCTACCGTGTGACGCGTAAGCACGAATAGAAAACTATTGAAATAGAACACCAAATGTCGGGAGTGGTAAACCATTTCGATTTTCGCGCGACGTTTATCTCATGAATACATTTGCGCGCCGTGCATTTTAGCGTCAATCTCTGACTCTGTGACTCGCGCTTCAATTTCGCGACGCTTGATGACAGAGACATGACACACGAGATGCGAAAGCATCAACCACTGCTGGAAAGATGTCCGCAGTTAGAACGCCCGGCGAAACACTCTTATTTGCATTTAATGGTGAACCCACTGGTTTACGACGTCCCTTTAGTTATCCCCGAGTAGCTGATGCGTGTTTGATGACTGCTCTTATCTTACGCGCCCGAGCACGGACATGATCTTCCCCTGCTTCTACCCGCGTTTCGAATATTTTATTTCGTGTACCCATTTCTATTTAGAAGCGCCGTTGTTTTTTTACGTTCGGCAATTACCGTCGATTGGAGAGTTAATTTATTGGTCGATTAGCGCCCTGCTTTTCTGATTCATTACGCGATCCGATCACTTTTCGTCTATCTCTTTCAGCACATTGCGGACTAACTATATTATGTTGGATTTTATGTTTCAGGTGGCAATTAAAATTATGGACATTAACGAACTCAAGGAGGACTATGTCATTCGGAATCTCTACCGGGAAGCAAAAATTTTGTCTAAGCTCGCTCATCCGTCCATTGCTACCCTATTTCAGACTATGCAAGTAAGTTATATTTATATAGCATAATTCTTATATAGATCACTTGTATCTTAAAATGATTTTTGTCTATTTAGTTGATTCTGGGTGCGCGTGAATGTGTTAGAGAGCGTGGCGCTGATTTATTAAATAATTCTATCTCCGGTTCAGCAGACAGGAAAATAATTTCTCGTGTCCGCGCGAATCGACCGTGCGAGACCGAAGGGCCGAATAATGTGGACACAATAAATCAGCAATATGTAAGCAACAGAGCCGAAATTAAGCGTGCGCGCGTACATCAGAAAGAAATGTTCATTAGAACTGGTCCAGCGAGCATGAGAGAGCTCTTTCAAACATCAGTGCTCAGCGTAATCTCGACGAATGATTTTTTTGCTTAATCTTCGATCCTCCACTTTGCTTCACTTTGCTTTGCTCGGTCGACGAAGACGGCCAAGCGACTTGTTGTTTTTACCAACAGCGCAGTGCGGTGACTTATATTTACTACAAGATGATTTCGGACAGTAATAAAATGTGTGCGATTCTCTGAGTACTGAGCAGTGACAATTAGCGATGTAATAAGATGTCAGGTCGTAAAGTTAGATCAAAGTGCTGAGTACTATTCTTTACCACGTTGAGCATTTCCAGGTCTTTTGATTCAGGAATAATTTAGTCTAAGTCAAAAAATTCAATCCACGGGAATCATGCAACCGCACTGCCGATGATGTTTATGTAGATGTGAGGGCAAGCAGAACGAAGGACGTTTCTTAAAGTACAAATGTATGCATACGCCATTGAGTGTAGCTGAGTCAGTTGTTGTAATCTCAAATTCACGCCTCTTACCCGTCCGTTTGAGTCGACGCACCCACCCCCATATCCCCAGTTCGGTCAACGCTTCCTCATGGAAATATATCGTTTGGCCGTGGCCCTTTTGGCGAATATTAATAATTCGCGTGAGTGCGCCTACAATACGCACCACCACACCGTTCTGAAGACGATGCATAGCTAATTATCGCAGATATATGTAGCCATTCGGCCTATAGCCGAAACTATAAAGTTTAATATGTGGTCGCCTGGGGTAGCGTATATTTACCCTATGTTGGTATTGTCGCTGGCTGCCTTCAAAAGTCGGCCAACAACAGCGAACCGCTGCGGATGTGCAAATTTCGCACAACGTACATGGGGTGTTTCTGCATTGTATCGTTTGGCGGCGTTATCTCGGTGCGAACGCAAAATATTACTTCGTGTCGAAAGTCACCGACCTAGATGGGCGCCGGTATAATTTTCATCACGCGCTTCACCTCGCCTGCCAGCAAGCGTACACGCGCTCATGCCGTTTAGCCAACCACCGCCGTTGCCTCCCTCACGGGGCGCTGGGACGTAAACGTTGCCTTTACGTTTTGGGATTAGGCGCGAGGACCTTTTGCGGTTTTAATCTAAATTTAATTTGACGCGATGCCAAACATGTTTCTCCGCTATTTTTTGTGCCACCGCCAACAGACACGTCCCGAAAAATGTCACTAGATTTACCAAAACATTTGCAAGCATATGTTCCCATAAAATTCTAATGCATTTTTTCTGATATTTTAATAAGATATTAATATTTCAAAAATATCCGTTAGGTTGCTTTTTTATTTTAAAGTTCTTGATATTTGCAACTTTCACATTCCATCTTTGTCAATAGGTGATAAGTGAATTGGAGCAGAGGCGATACGCTAGCGAGAAGGGTGAAAATAAAGCGAATTCCCACATGAACAAGTTGTTTTTCTATGTGATTGTAAAGACAATATTCGAAACATATTAAAAGTTTACAACTTTGTAAATTAATGTGTTATATACCGGCATCAAGTTAAATTTCCTCCTTTTTTTTAATGTATGTATTCGAAAATTAACAAACAAACGTTTTTGTATTTTTGGAATGTCGGAAAATTCAATTTTAATTTTATTTTACATACGATTCGCACATCCGCCTTGCTGTGTATCGTGCTAACCACAATTCCCTCGATGCGTGCGCGCGCGTACATCCGACCGGAAAGAGTCGGGGACCATGATGAGAATAAGGCGGCGGCGTCGGTGGCGGCGGGGCAAAACGAGCGAGCGCGCCGAGAGCGGTCCCTGCGCACTCTGTTGATGAGTTCCATCACGAGTATGCGATTACATCGGGTCCCCGGGGCACAAGTGGGATCACCTTACATGCCGTGTGACAGCCGAGCCTGCGCGACTCAATTTGATTAATCCCCCCATAAAAGCGATCTCTGGCTTGCTTCAGGGCGCTCGCGCAACATCAGCTGACTCGTCGATCTCTTGGCCACAGAGATTTAAATATCAATAACTCGCGCCCATTTTTTGTATTATATTAATATTCCCAATATATTGTGCAATATATCACGAGCCAAAGCGAAATTCCGCGTGCGCCACGAAAAAAGCTCAACACCCTAAACCCGCCCCCTAAGCTGCCTAAAATGTGTGTGCATACATATATGAGACGAATTTTCTCTGAGCTAAGCTTGGCGCTTGGGCGGAGAAACGCTGGCGCTTCACTTTGCGTGATTTTTCATCTTGCAGCGCACTCGAGGAAAATGAATTTCCAGTTTCGTTTGGAATATCAAATATCTTTCTTCAAGGACACGCTGGTGTAGGGCGTGTAGCACCAGTTGAATTTAATAATTTATATTCTAGTACAACATTAGTCATGTTACTATTACTTCATCTGGCGGAAACGAACAAACTTGCAATATTAAAACGCAAGGTAAAAGTTTTTCCTTCGTATTTGTTAATTGAAAAAGTTTACGTAAGAGAGGGAGAGAGTGAGTAACTTTGTCGAGTTGCATAATAAGTTGCCGCCGCCACGGTCGCTACCATCAGCAGCGTTTAAGCACAAACGTAGACGACAACTTCTTTGTCGACATTACGACACTGATGATGAAGGCAATTTTATTGATTTGTAAAAAATATATTAAAAGCAAACATTGAATGTATTTGTTCATCAGAGCAAAGATTTTCTCAGAGCATATTTAGGTGTGTGTGATGTTTCATTTTGCCTCTTCGAATAAATCACTTCATTCCTTTGAGCATGAGCTGACGCTCGTGTGTAGGGCGCACGTTTTTTCCACTCTATGTACACGCTAAAAATAAAAGCAAATATCGTATACATTGTGTATGCGTTGCAAACGTTAACGTGGCGCCTCCGCCACTGATCGCAATTCTAGCGAATACGTTACGAGCACGATCACGCGCTCGGATTATATTCAATATGTTTTCTTTTGAAATTTTCATGATGTTCGTAAACATTGTGCGCGTGTTTCTAATTTTGGAAAATGCATCTTGGATCAAAATTGAATTTGTTTGAATTTGTAACATAATTTGATTGCTATAATGGTTTATTTAGCAAAATATAGTCGGGCGTCTTTTATATGCAATCAATATGTTATTAGATGTGAATAGTATTTTTGCCTTGTAAACACTATGTTGGCTTATTTACCTTTTCCCGATTTTTGTCAACGCTGCGATTACAAGCTTTTCGATTCACTTTCAATTCGCTCAATGGAAATAAGCAATTTTATGCGTTTTCCCCTATAGCATGCGCTTTTTATGTATCTTCTGAAGCGGGACTACAGATATCTGCACGTTGCGGTGTGCAATCTTCTTAATAAGAAAGTCTTCTGTGGGGCGGCGTCGGCTCAACGCAATGCGCGCTCGGCATCAACATTTTATTGTGAGGTGTTTAACCATTACGGTTTTACGGCATCGTAAACGAAATTTGGATATAGGATATAGAGGAGTCGCAGAAATACGCAGGGCTTTCTTAATCTGGCGTAAAAGATATAGCGCAGGATAGTTCCGCCTCATCGAGAAACCGAGATTTCATGAAATCACAACGATCGTTTGGCAAGTTGTCTGGTTATTGGTGTGAGTGAATGAGTGTTGAGAGAAACGAAGTGAATTAATTTTTCAAATACAATTTTTTAGCCATTTATATAAATAAACTATTAAATGTTAAATTTTCTTTTGGCACACTTATAAGAAGCGACTTTTTCAATCAAATACAACAATGGTTCCTAAAAATATGTTAAACACTTTGAATAATGAACAATACTGAAATTATTTCAATTTCATGTTGCAGTACGGCAACATGTATTATCTGGTGATGGAGCTGGTTGGCGGCGGCGATCTCTGCAACTTCATCCGAACCCAGCGCAACGGCCGCCTCGAAGAGCATTGCACGAGACTCTTCGCCCGTCAGCTCGTATCGGCCATCTCCCATATGCACAACCTGGGAATCGTTCACAGGTAAGTGGAACTCTAATCAAACATTCATTAATCTTCGATCGCGCGCGCGCCCCCTAGGCCCCAGCAGTCGAGCCGAAAGCTCGCAACTACTCGAAACTAAGTTTGCGCACAAGTTTGTATCTGCTAGTATGCACATTACGACCGCAACGCTAACAGTGGTACTTGGGGAAAACACTTGAAATCGACTCTTGAGAAATTGCGCACATAAACTGTGCAGTTTACGTGGAAATCTAATCGCTCTACGTACGCTTGCGCGTGTTTCCTATCGAAAATAAACTTTAATCTATTACAACATTGCTCCACGCGAAATATTGTTTTCCGATGTCGACATATTTTTTGGTTTAGGCGTAGCTGCACTTGGAATTTTATTTGATTTTCCGCACTCGCACTGGTCTGCTTGAAACTACACCCAGATTTCTTTTGTGTGTGCGCTCAGTCTCCTCTCATATCCCAGCCGAGCTACGCAAACTTGGACGAAACGAAAGCGCGCGCGGAAAATCCAGCCGCATAAATTGCACGAATATATTTCGCTCCGAAACTCAACACGCCTCCAATATGTTCGACATAATATCGCGTAACACGAGTCTGAACATTCTGGTGCTCCATACGCCGCCGCATTTCATATAAAGTTGTAAAAGCGGCGAGGAGTTGTCGGGAATAGTGCTTGTGCATCTGTATGTGTCTGGATGTGCACGTACATAATATATGTGTATGTGTAAAAGGGGTGGGTGGTAGTGATCCGAAACGAGCATGCAATCGAGCGTTCTAATAAGCTCTATTAAGACAGCATCGTCTTGCGCGCTCGACATGAATATCCGGAGAATGCGCCTGCTAATTTATTTGCCTGCGTTATACGTCTATTGGTATTTTAGACGCTCAATTAATCAACGTTGATTAGTACATAGATGTAGAAGATTGTCGCTGTATATAAATACTGATTTTCATAGGGTCTGACTTTTTTAGTTACTTGGTAATCACCAAGTAGAATTAACGTAATATTGAAGAGTAAATATCTAATCGAGGATTGGTTAAATATATATGTTAGATAGACTTATTGACATGGCATAAATATTAAAATTAATTCAATTCATTTCCCGTTCTGCGTCAACGCCGACCGTTTGTGCGAAGCGAATACGATCGATCATCAAACGACGTCGTTATGTCCGCAATAATAGAATATATCTCATTTCGAATTGCAATTAATGCTTAAATTAATACGACGATGGAGGCATAAATGATATTTATGTTTGAATCGTGCCTGTTAGACCAAAACTCGGATTAGTTTCAAATTTGTACATTTACATTCTTAAATTTTACTAAATTACATAAAATAATTGTTGAATTGGGTATTTTGTCAATAACATAGGTTCACAAAAGCTGAACTCAGCGTTATATACTTTTTAGGCACATAATTTGTGAACTCGGTATATTTTGTATAAAGTGTCTACAATGTTGTATGCAGTTTATTTTCTGTTTGGCGAAAATGCATTTCCAAAAATTTACAAGGGACGCCCGACGGTGCAAAATATACACTCGACAACACACATTGAATCCGAAACGAGCGGCGGCGTTGGCGCGAAGGAGGACACACGCGATGGCCGATATGGCGTCAGGATGCAAAATGCACTCTTCGATTGCCGGCGCGGATAAGGCGTGTACCCGCGCGCGAGAGACTCGTAAAACCGTTTCGCGAACGGGGGGAGAAAACGCGAAGAATAGCAAGTCTGCATAAATATGCAATAATTTGATACCAAAGCGCGCGCGAATACGACGCAGGAGCTTAGCGATAAGACTGGAGCGTGCATAGTTGAAACTAAGAAATAACCGTTTCTACGCGACGCAAAAACACCCACACATACAAACAACAGGCGGACGCGCGCGCGAAAATTATTTCATTGCTTAGCAAGAGTGCAGAAAAGAAAAACAACGACGAATTTTACGCTGTTACGTTGTTGTGTGTGCTGCGTGGCGGCGTGATGAGTTTTGTTGGCGAAAATATTCAAATGTTGAGTCGTTAAGTTTAACGCGATCCCTCCGTGTCTTTATATCATTGTTAATTACTCGCGAAACACACAAAACCACTTTACATCGGCGTCTTGATTTGCAATTTGCGATGAGTACAGCGACGAGCGGGGGTAGTTGCAGATTAAGCGCAGTTGCGAAATTTATGCGCGCCCGGCGGAAATGTCGACGCGACGCCGTTCACGCAGACAGTTATGATCGTGTTGTGTGTCAAGGCGTTGTTACACTTCTTGTTAATCCTGTTAGCATATTAAGGCTTGTGTTGTGCCTCGAATATGATTAGATGTGTGCATCTGAACGCACAGCCAGACATTTTCTAATTTGATAATAATAAACATTGACATATTTGTTCATAAAAAATGTAAAATGAAGGACTCACTGCCGTTTTGTCAATTTTGTTGTAACGTTATTTCTTTACGGTGGAAATAAGTAATTATGACGAATCCAATATTTATTTTGAAATCATGACACATATGTTTGCGCTTTGATGTCTGCTTTCGAGGGAAAAGCACGTCCTGCGTTTTCGTCGGCAGGTACGTACGCTTGTCAAAATGGGACACAATATACACGTCCACACACTCATATTCGCATTTGCAGCACCGCTTTCCGCCGCTTCTGCGTGCTGGATTTGTTTGTTCAGTTTATTTAAGTACGCGCCGCGTGTTTGAGCAGAGGAGTGCTGAACGAGAATGCTTCAGAAGAAGTGGTGGGGACCAGGGTGGTTGGTAATCAGGTTTTGCCATCATCTTACATCACAGTTGCTTACATAATGAGATAATTATAGCACGAATGTTTACGAACTTGGCGTTTATTACGTATGCACACACTACCTAACCCATACTTACTCACACTGGGGTGTCTAGATCCTTTTGGGACTGGTTTGGTCTCAATATGCGTATTATTACAAGCTTTCGGAAAATTCACGTATATTTGAAACTGTCAACAATTATAGTAATGCAATAAAATTGTGTTCCTTTGCTTCAAAAGTTTGAACAAACGCACTCGGATGGTATAATAAATTAAATTCCCTAGACGCTCATATTGATTAAGACACTTTGACGTGCGTTTTGTTTTAGTAGTACTATGCTAGAGTAATTGCTTTTTCGTTGCATTTAGCTGAAATGAGTCGAAAAGTTTGCAGTTTGCGAATTAAAGCCGTACAAAATGCTAACACCTCACGCCCGTAGTGGCGTAATTTGACGTGAAAGTAATATTAACTTAAAACATATCATAAACAAACTAAAAACTAATATTAAAGTGCAGCTGGTGCAATAGCTGGTGGCGGCGGTAGCAGCGGCGTTTCAAAAGTTTCGGTTATAGACTCGACTGTGACTCGCCTTGCTCCCCCCACCACCCCTGCTATAAAGTAACGTAACGCGGCAAGTAAGTGCGCTCGGGTGGGGGAGGGGGTGTCGGCAAACGCAAACATACTAGATATTATGTACGAGTATGTTTGAAGGAGTAGATACATCTGAGCGTGTGTAGTTAAACTTTGCTATAAACTTACAAAGTTGCGAAAACTGTTTTGCTGAGGGTGCGAAAAGAAGGCAAACGGTTTCTGCCATCGCCGCGGGTGCTAGCCGCTGGTGTGAATTTTAAATTAAATATATCTGCGCGTGCCCACGCTCTGTAGTATATTCTCAGAGGACATCGGGTGCGACAATAAAATATGCATGAAGTCGGCAATTTCATAATGTCGTTGTCTTTTTGTGACCGTAAAATTGCGAATTTTGGCATTTATTTTATACGTTTAGTCTGTTGTACAATGTTTTAAAAAGAAACATGTTGATTTCTTAGGGCTGCAGTGTTCCCGAGGTCGTAAAATATATAGGTCATATTTTGTTCCTCAGCGTGATTTCTCCATCTCAGAAATTTATTTTTCGTGATTTGGCGGGCGTATTGACTGGTTTCGGCTCTTGGCATGTTTCTGGCACGCATCAAAGAGACTTCTCCACCCAACGCAATATTCTCGCCCAAACGTATTTCACGCACACGCGCGCACTGCGCCGCGCCACCTTTTCAAATATGAATACCTTGCCTGGGACGAAGGAGGTATTTAACCGCCAGTGGTTGCTTTGGTTTCGAGACCTTCGGCAAACTTGGCAATACATGTTTGCGGTGAATGGCAGCCGGGCGAATCAAATTTCGGCGTTCCTTATTTGACGTATGTTTGCTTGCCTGCGCCTGCAGGTCGATAGAATGGCAATAGATGCCGCGCACGAATCATATATATTTCCCCCGATGCCTTTGCTCTTCGCAACTCGGTTTTGGCGATAGGCAAAGTTGGCGTAATCTGTATATTGCTTTGACCGTACAAATATGCGGGTCACCTGCATGCGAGGTCGACGGGGAGAGAGGTACTCGTGATGGTTCTTGATTAAACTTCCGGCCCGTAATAACCAGCGATAACTTGCGTCTGAATGTTGCGTTTTGCCGGCCAAATGCGCACATTGCCAACCAGTGGTGGTGGTGGAGGCGCAGGGCAGAGCGACTAGGCTACTACCACAACAGTACACGTGTAATTTGTCCAGATTACGCTTGGAGCGCGCGAAGCTTGCATTAATATGCTGTCTCTCCGTGTGTGCTTTTCCCTCGACGGAGCGCAGACCCAATTTCGACGAAACGCATCCATCGGCCCGACCCTCGGACATATTACACGTGCAAACTGCTTTCGGCGTTGTGTTCGGCCCGGGACACTAAATAGATAGATGGAATGAATGTCACACAGCAAACAAGCGTTATGGCAAATGCAGTCGACAAATATCGCGCATATTTATAAACCGTTGCGTGTTGCTTTGCTGCGTTGTTGCGGCATCTAAATCGCGATCGTTTATTCGCCATTTCCGACGCGTCCGTTATTTATGTGCATTTGCATGCCTATGAATGGGCATTAATTTTATTTACAAGTGAGCCTGGCATAAGGGTAATAAAAAACGCTACAGCGCTGGTCACACGTGAATAAGCTTAATTTTCCACTA